TGGTAAAAATAAGCTACGTGTAAATTGGTTACCCGAAACCAATGATAATAACTTAGGGTTTTATTGATACAAAACATTTTCGACTACAATCAATCCATTTCTGTAAAATAAATGTAGATGTTGTTGTAGTCTTTGAATTTCAGTAGTGCTACTATCGATTGTCTGATTTTGAAATGTCATCTGAAGCATTCAACAAGACGACTACCTTTGTGTTTACATTAGAAACATTCACTTCATTTCTGGATAACCTACATAGGTACAACTTGTTTTTGTAGACAAATTCATTTGAATAAAATCTTGTGAATAACAGACTACAAAAAGGAAAAACGATCTCATTTTACCTTGTAAATTGCAATTTTTTATACACATATATATGAGTGATTTTTCTCGATAAGAAAATAAGATTTTTGTTAGGAAACATTCTAAAAAGGTTATTTTATGCATATTTTATGCAGTCTTCTATTACGTAATCATTATGAAGATTGCTGATTAGTGTAAGGCGAAACAGAAAAAATTGTTTGGATGCAAGCAATCGGCAAGCAGCCCTGGACCTGGGTTTCGTGTTTGTTAGCACTCGTCAGCAAGATGTATCTGCAACCTCGATGGAACTTATATCTAACTTGAGATTCGAACCCGCATCCGTCAGTGACCAATCAATGTTCTGAATCCAATCCTACGGGAGGTCAGTCGTGGCTCGAATGGCTCAATGAGAACGTTTCTGACTGCAGCACTGTGTGATTAGGTTTGAACCTCACAGGAGACATCAGTTTCGTCGAGGTTGCAGATATGCCTTTGTTGATGAGTGCCAACAAGCATGAAACCTAGGTTAAGGGCTTCTTACTGATTACTTCCACTCAACTGACATCTATCGAAGTTCATTTCGATGCTGAGTTACCTAGTCTGGTGGCGATATTGTAGTGATCGATATAATTCGGTCAGTACTTAGGACTAGAAAACATGAAGTTGGTTATCTTCTAGTGACCAAGCAATATAAAATAGAAAACGACTGATACATTCAACCTGAAAGACGTATTTCAGGTTTAGTTACATTCTAAGATTATTTGTGTTCCGTTGTTGTAAAAGTCCTATTTTATTCAACTAGCCAACATACAGAATAATTCATAAATGCTACTTTGATTTAAAGAATTACAACTATGGAGAAGCTTCTTATGTTTTTGTCATTATATTAGGTAACAAACCAGTTTAAAAGTACTACAGGCATAACTATGGTCAATTTATGCCCAACCTGATTGAGTCGGTTTTCTAGTTAATTATCTGTAGGCATGTACCGTCCTTGAATCCATGAATGTAATAAAAAAATCCTCAACTGTTATTCTTCTGTATTGCCATGAATAAAGATGAAACTATAAGCGAGTTGGTTACCAGGGGTAACCGATGGCATTATTTAGTCCTTAGTGCTTACCCCTGGTCGGAGTCTATAAGTCAAATTCTGAAACGAAACCACTGAGCGGATTAATGCTACACTGGAGTAGATTCCACTGGTGACCAACTCATGAAGATACTTCAGTCCTACAAATGGTCAGTCGTGGTCTAAACAGCTTAGCGATCAAGTCTTTGAGTTCAGCACTGTGCAAAAAGTGTTCGAACTACTAAGGGAACACCAGTTTTCTTATGATTGCAATATGCACCTTGCTGATGAATGACAACAGGAGCGAAACCTAGATGCGAGACTTCCTATTGACCAGCTTTCAGGATTTAACATCAATCAGTGAAACTATGTATAATCACTGTACTTAGATAAAATCCCAGTAAGTTGGCAAGAGTGTTGACAAAGGACCTTACTCCTAAGCTGCTTAAATAAATTACAAGGGATGGTTATCACGCCCCAGTGGCTTGGTGGATAACGCTTATGGTTTGAAGCGGTGGGTAGGAGGTTCGAGTCTCAGTGGAAACAACATCACTCAATGTACTGCAGGTACATCCAACTAACTAGTTCAAAGGGGGAAGGAACGCGCGTCCGGGATTTTTCTGCTATTCATCAATATGGATGTTATCATTTAGTTTACATCGTTTGTTTAATCTCTTTTGAATATTTCCTTTGACTTCAAAAAGTAATGATTGGTGAAAAAGCACTGACAATACTCTTGAATGTACGCTATCTTTCCTTACTGTTTTATGGCTTTCTATGATTTTTTATTATAGAATCTTTTCCATCCTTCGATTACCTTATACCTTGATGTAGAATCGTACAGGTGTTTTTTAAAGAAGACACTTGCTTGATTCATGTAGAAATAAATCAGTTGGTTGACCTATTCTTTGAAAGACTACAGTTTCATAATAAGTTGTTAAATTAAAATCAACTTATCATTAGTGTGAACTACTTTCACCGGTCTAGATTAGTAAGTAGTTCACGAGAGTTTCATATGAGAATTGTTCTACTGGTAACACTACGAGTATATCTTAAACTAGGGGTGTAATATATGCTACACTGAATCTTTTCATTTTCAGTGATTCAATTACAGCTGCATGCTTCAACAGAAGTTCATTTTGAAGTTTATCGGTCAACTGATTTACTTTGAAAGCAGTCATGAAAATACGTTTAGATAAAGTAGGATTTTTGTTGTGATTAGAATATTGACTTTCTCAACGCAGTGTTGTTAAATTCTGAGTTTTAGGAGGAAATAATTATATTATGATGCAAATTTATTCGGCTAACGGTAGTCAGATGGGAAGATACTTGACTGCTGAACTGTAACTGTAAATCACTGCTAAATATGAATAAGATTTAACTGCTGTAAATTTATGATGTAAATGGGCTTAAATTCTTACTCACTTGACTTAAATGACGGGATTTACTGCATATTCAACTGCCAAATGGATTTCGTAACCAAGGTTTTTCAAATTTCATCCACCGTGCATAAATATCCATATTGTGTTAGTTGATTGACGGCTATCGTTAGGAAGCTCTGGACCTAGGTTTGGTGTTTTTTGGTACTCATCAACAAGGCGTATCTACAACCTCGACGGAACTGATATCCAACTTGAGATTCGGACCTGCATCAACCAGTGTTGCAATCAGCAGCGTTACTACTGGGCGACCCGACCAGTTCAAGGGTAACACCACTGACTGCAAAACTGGACAAAGCAGGTTCGAGTCTCAGGCCGTCATCAGTTCCATCGAGGTTATAGATACGTCTTGCTGATGAGTGCCAAGGTTCACGAAACCTAGGTTAAGGGCTTCCTACTGATTGCCTCCAACCAACTAACATCCGTGGAAGTGCACTGCAACTATGAACCTCCTAGCTTGGTGGCCGCATTGAAAAATGATCAACAGAATCTAGTCAGCACACAGGAACAGATGACTGTATGATATCCATCTTAGTTTAAGTAATATAACTAACAATTCGAAGAAAACACATTAAGTTGAGCCAAGGAATACTTCCTCTTTGTTTGTTCCTCATCATTGACTTCACTGTTGCATACAGACTTCTCTTAACATTACAATATAAAACTATATGATGGCCACCGGTTAATTAGGAGTTACTAATTCTTTCGAAGATACTAACTAGAGCAATGACTGATCATTGAAAGTGGAATGCCGACTAGGAAAATGGTATAGTTATATATGATAATTTTTTGAAAGTCAGGCCAGACTGTTGCCGAGTTGATTAGTTGCATTAACACGAATACATAATTATGTTAAATGGTCAGATTGTTTGATTCCAGCATCTTCATTCCAACACATCTATCTGTAGATATTTTTAATGATTCTAAATAAATGAAGACAAGAATCACTGAAAAAAACCCAGATAGAAAAAGTTATTTTCCAAAATTAACGAAAGAGGTAGAAATCTGCAGTAAGATTCTAGTTCTTAGCTTTTATTAAGCTTTCCACAATGCACTTCTGTAAGATTTATATCACTTTCTCTACAGAAATATTAAAAAACTAGTGGTTATTTACCTTTTTGTGACTTTCGATTGCATTTTCATTTATCTTTACAAATCAGCAGACTCATCTTAATTACCGGGCCAGGAGATGTCGACTGACTGAACCCTTGGTTAACTAAAACTTAATTGACATTTTTCACGTATGAATTTTATGTTTAGACTATGTTTATTTCTTTGATTGATTTTTCGTTTACAACAGTCTTGTGTCTCCGTACGAACCAAATGTCACTACTACTCTTTTGTTTCTATCGTCTTTTTGTCTTTCAAATAAGAATAAGCTTCATTCAGTTTGACTGCATCCAGTTATTTGCCGCTTACTAGCATATCTTTTTCAATCAGGTGCTTAGATCAAAGGATTTAGTATTTCTCAACAGCGTCGATAACCGTTGTAATGATACTTGTAATTTTCCGTTGCTTTGCAGGGTCGAATTACATATGGGCTTCTGTGCGAATGCCTCAATACTGCCGAATATTCATGATGTCGATAGCCTTATTTTTTTAATCACTATGTTGAATTCATTGTCGTCTAAAGCTGGAGTTGAAATAAATATGTTGTGCATACCAAACCACCACCTAGCCCAATGTACGTTGTTCACCGAAACCAGTTCACGTTGGGTTAACGTACTGAGGCATGATATCAGTACATGAAGTTTTCAGTGTCCTATCATGGCCGTGTAATGAGTATAAGCTGCTTGCTTGGAGTCCACCAAACGATAGAAATCAATGGTTGGAGACTTCCAATAAGAGGGCTCAAAATAGCGCACAGGTGTGCAGATGCATACACTCTTCCTCATCTTCGAAGTTTTGAATATCTTGAAGAACCTTCATTGGTTTTTTTCTGTCACCACTTATATGGTTTATTTTAGTTTGAAGTCATTCCTTTTCTCTATTCACCTCTTTGAATGCCATTGTGAACTTCAGAAACTTGAAATGGTACACTTCTCTACCAGGTATTGAGTCGTTTTACTTGTCTTTCTGTCAATAAGTTCTAGGCAAAAGGCAAGAAGAGACAGTACAATCCTTGTACCTGTTTGAACCGATTCATTTCATATAATAATGTAATATTCCTCTTTTCTGTCCGATTATTTTAGGTAGTCCTTTAAAGTCTTCAACGATCGATCGGTATTCAACTATGCCAAACATAAATAACATACCAAAAAAGTCAGAATATATTGAGTCTAATTCTGGGACATTTTCACAATCTGTTGATATTCCATTACTGATTAGATTACTTCAGTCGTCGAATCCAGATGTTGTATCAAATGCAGCTGCCTATTTGCAGCATTTGGTTTACCGTAATCCTGGTTTAAAAGAAAAAACAAGGTAATTTTTTATTTTAATTAGCCTGTTATTCTTGAATGTGTTTTTAAATGTATTCATTGGTTGATGGAAAATTCACTTCAGGAAATGTTCTTTGAAAAAACAAGTTGTCGTAACCTGGTTTAGTCAGTTTTGCAGCTTTTTCTCCATTAAAATCAGCATTCAGTGAACAAGTTGTGCTTAGGAATTGTTTTCCCTACTATTTGACTTCCTGGTAATTGATGCTGAAGCCTGGTAACTTATGCGGTTGTATTACCTTCAGACTTGAAGACTTGATATAAACAGAATATTGAAAGTCTTTGTGTTCAGAATTCTAGGTAATCTCAGCCTGTGTCACTGACTGTCAAAATCGAACATTTTACCAATGAGCTACTTCGGCCATGATTGAGTCTTTCCACGATTGGTTAATGTATACGAATTTGTTACTAAGTGCTGATCAATTTATTTGTTCAGTCCTATGTGTTGGATACTAATCAAAGCTGATCGCATCGCTCAGCTTAGCAGTCACTCTTTAAACTTAATCGTTAAACGTCGGTTAGTGTTAATTAATTGGGATCTGACAGTCACATTGATTACTACTTGTTGACCACAGTAACGGTGTATTGATGATACTGAACTATTGAATTTTATTCAACGTGTAGAGTGTGGTTATGATTAACCTCCAAAATGTTTGTAAAGTGAGGGGATGTTTAGGTTTTGAGTTCCGTTCTACAGTCATTGATGCTTAGTTTGGTACTAAAGGATATATACTTTACGAATGTTGACAAATTCACATATTCAGAGATTTATATCAGCGCCGAAAATCAGTGAACAACAACATATTTACGTGGAGATTTCTCGAATAACTTTCATCAAATTAGCCACTTAAGGCCGCAACACGAATTTAAAACAAGCGATAAAAGCTACATTCAGTATATGAAAATATCCATTTTCCCACCATTCGACTGTTCGTCATAAACACTGTAGAAAGGAAATATTAAAGGGCCCACAGATATTTTGCTATCAGTGCCTCTTGAACATTGTTTATATTTACTAAAATTGTTTGATTATAGATGAATAAGCAAAATCAACATATGCATTAGTTAGAGACGCAACATTTTTAATTCATTACAACCAGGGTAGCTCTACAAGACGAATGATAAGCAAATGAAAGCAATAATACCATCATCAATAATTAAACTGCAGATATTTGTCGAGGGGGGGGTAATGAGATTCCAAAAGCAAGTTTAATATTTTTTAAACCTGAGTTTGCCCCTGAATGGTCAGTTCTGTACCATATGGTCGAATTTATCAGTTACCAATTTCGATCATCTTATGATTCTCAGCTGGGAATCCAAGTAGACAGAGTTATTGTTAACGGCTGGTTACTACGCAAGGAAAGTAAAGTAATTGATAAAGTTGTAAATTCTAACTGTCTACGATGAATGATTCGTAGCTTATACCACAACCTACGTTACTGGGTCAAATTTACGTTTAAATAACCCTCATAATGATCAGAAAGAAAGTTGACATAAGCCCATGAAGTATCTGACCATTGGTTAAAGCTGTTTAGTTAACTCAAAACTTCTGAGTTTGACTTTATAAACCAACTCATATCAATTCTTAGGAAGTTCGAAGTATGTGGTATATGTTTCATAGACGTAGGTAGAAGGAAGATATGCCTTCTTCTAAATCTTAAGCACTCTTTGGACTTCTGCCTTTCTTATATCTTCCTTTGAACTAATTTGCTTTGATGCTACTACTATCAAACTGAAAGTATATGCAATATTGAGGCATCCCCATGGGAGCTCATATGCCAACAGAGACTGATCAGTTTGAACCAGTCGACTACGATGTTCATCGCACAAGGGGTGGATTTCGCAGCTTAGTGGCCCACTAGAAAACTTTCTGACGTTTAAAGAGATTGGTCTAGGGTTAGAGTCTTAGTAGAAACAACAACACTTACGGGGAGGTAGTACATTCAGCTAACGAGTACCAAACGTGATGAAATGCACATTCTAGATTCTACTGCTAGCCACTAATATCAGAACTTGTTTAATGACTAAGTATGGTAAGTGCTTTGCACCACTGAAGTGCAAAGTACTTTTCAAGATTTCCCGGAGCTTGTCTGCACTCACTCATGGTGGTGAATCGTTGGAAGTAGTCGAAAAAGTTCGTATATTCAGGTAGTTGTGTGGGTGCTGGTGTAGGTGTGGGTGGTGAGATTTCCCACCGTATATCGGAAACCAGAGTGGCATGCGACAACCTGGGTCACTTTTTGCACCGCCATGAAGTTAGTCTAAGCAGCAAAAGGTTGGATTTACAACTCTTCGGTGCCAGCAGTTGTTGTCTACGTCTGTGAAACCTAGCCTTTCCGAGCTGAGGATGTGCGACGACTTTGTGTGTTCGATCGTCGTTGTCTCGTAGGATTGCTCGTATCCGGTGCAACACCATGTAAGTAATTCTGAGGTACGAGTGTTTGGGCATGATGGAGATCGTCATCCAATAAGTGAAGTCATCTGGAAACACCTATTTCGGTGACTTGGATATTTGTAACTCATGTCATCCCAACGGCTTCCACGTCATTCGTTTTCTGCTATCCCTGGGACTGTATGGAAGGAGCAGAGGGGTAGTCAGTGCATGATGTGGCGTCATGGGATGAAGGATAGTTGTATCGGGTTAGTATCTTTTGCTGCGTCACGACTCCCTACTGGGGGTCCGAGAGATCATGCAACTTAGTGGCTTGAGACGTTATATGTGGTGGTCATACTGCAGCTTCCTTCTATCTTCTGGTGCTGAAAAGTAATGAATGTTTTGTTTTTAATGTATCTTGTTAAACTGCTCTTGTAATCATTCTATTCTTATGGTGCCCTCCCATATCCGGCTTATGTTCTAATAATAATAATTATAATAACTAGGTAAGATATCGTATCGAAGACGGGACTTCAGGTGAACTTAGAGAACATAAAGATGATGAAATATCCAGTCAGCAACAACAATGAGCACTAATCACATCAACGGGAGAAATCTGAAAGAAGGTGTCTCTTTCACCTACCTAAGCAACATCGTTTCCACTACAGGCAGCGCAGATGAGAATGCCAAAGCTAGGATCAGAAAAGCAAGATAGGCCTTGATTAATCTGAAATGAGTGTGGAGATCTACTACACTCCACTCCACTCAGTATAAAAAAAAGGTCGGATTTTAAACACTAGTGTCAGTCACGTCAGTGTTTCTATGTGATGGTTGAGAGACTTGGCGCGTCACAAAAAGCATTTCCAACAAACTGCAGACAAACATCATAACTAGCTGCCGCCTACGCTCACTCGCTCGATACTGAAGATCAGATCAGAAAGCGAGAACAAAAAGCAATGGGATTCTGGTCTGGCAACGAATCAACCAACAACCTATCACCCAACAAATATGCAGCAGAAGAAAGTGGAGATGGATTGCATTGGATTGGACATAAACTGAGAAGACGGTTTGTGGACATCACGCATCACGTCAGGCCCTCGAGTGGAACCCGAATGGGAAACGATGAGTTGGGCATCCGAGGGTGACGTGGAGGAGGTTATATGAAGAAGAAATGGTGGCTTTTGGGCAGTCGTGAAGCCAAGTTGAAAAGACCGCAGAGAAGAGAATGAAATAGCTACGTGGTATTGAAGCCCTATGTTCCACTAGGAACCCAAAAAACAAATAATATGTCGTATGCATTAGCTACTGTCCTGTTAAATGTATAAATATATATGGTCAAAAAAGGTCTCAAAAATTAATTCTACTTCGTGACATTACTGATAATTCGTAAATCCCTTGAACTGAAGAAAAGTATACCTTTTACACTAAGCATATTGTCCATAGCTTCCAAACGAGTAGCAGTTTGTTTAAATGATAATTTTCATTTCAACTGAATACAAAACTCTTATAAAGTATCACTAGTTTTGTAGTGAAGTTCCATTGATTCCAGATAATTTGGAAGTTATCCCTAATTTATCATGATTCGCTAATGTTCTTTTTACTTTTAGGATTTCCGGTGGTATATCAGCATTGGTTCAATTGCTTTATTCTGATCACACACGTGTATGCCTCAATGCTGTAGGGGTGTTACGCAATCTTACATGTGGCGATACGTTGGCTATTAAAGTGAGTTCTTTTCAAATATGTTCAATGGAATGTAGTTGTATTCATTTCATCAGATTATGTGAAGTATTAAGGTAACCATTTAAGGATTTATTGAAAATAGACAATGATAAGTCAAGTTAGTCCTCATGCAAATGTATCAAACGAAATCAAATTGTTAAAAAAGACTGTAGCTATGGAACAGTTTATTTAAGAATTCACATATGGATTCTTGTAAAAAAACTGCGATTGCCTATGTTAATTAAAATTTCTGCTTGAAGACACTTCAAGCATATGGATGGTACAGTTATTCCTTATTTGAAGTACACATATCACTTCTCATATGCATGTTAAAACACACGCAATCAATGATCACAAGTTTAAGCATATTCTGAGGAGTTTCTCACTGAGAAGTATGACAGTCATTAAAATTGCTACTGCCTGTCAACTTATTGATGGTTGACATAAAATTGATATCAAGAGATAATGATTGAGCAGTAAAGCGCAAGTTTCAACTTTGTTTTTCGGCGAAGTGGTAGCTATGAAACGATTAAAACTGAGCTGGTGTATTTAGAAGGAGATAGCTATCAGTGTGTCTCTAGAATGATACATCTTCTTGATCTTGATAATCATGATAATCATTACGTACCATCACAAAGTGGTACATCTTTATGGCTGTTCCGTTTCACACTTTTGACCTTACTGTCAGGATTCCATACATTTTACTTATAATCTTTGTGATTGTGTAGAACACATTTGTCTCTCCCCTTTATATCCTACTTTTACTCTAGAATAGTTGTCGAATCTTTGTCCATATAAGCAACTTTATTATTAGTTCTTGTATATCTGATCACTCAGTTCATGTGGATGGAGTTATGTAAAGTCAATGCCATGTTTACTGGCAGCCGATAGTTTCCTATCATGCTATAAATTTGCTGACACTTGTTATATTCATTGTAGTGACTTGGTTTAGTCTGAGTTTTATACTTATAGGTTGAGGTTTGTTTATATTTTGAGGCAGTATTCATCAGGTACTGATATCAGTTGGAGTACCATTGAAGACTTAGGAGCACTGGACAGCTGTTTTGTGCTAGTAAGGGACTCCTCAGCAGTAAGCACTGACGGCCCAGGTCTGGGTTGAACTTTGGACCTTCAGGTTTCACGGCCAACGCGTTAACTACTGAGCTACTGGGTGGGAATTCAATGCTTCACAGTTTCCAACTTCTGTCAACCCTCAATATAGCGTGGCTATAACCCAAGGGTTCGTACTGCTGAGGAGTCCCACACGTAAGGACGAAACAGCTGTCCAATGTTCCCAGGTCTTCAGTGGTTCTCGCATTGATGTCAGACCATGATGAATACTACCCCAATATATATATATATATATATATATATATATATATATATATATATATAATCTTCCGATTCCACTCCTTGATGGTCGCTCAGTTTCTTTAAAAATGGAAAAAGAGGTCACATAAGAGAAAGCATATTGCAACGCCAAAAATATTGCAGAATACAAGGGTGTTAATATTGCTAGCGGTCTTTACCGTTTCTAAGCCTTTCTAGTTAAGAATATCCTATTGACTTTTGTCTCTTCAACCAAAGTGATATTCACAAGTTTATTCACCTAGTTTCTCTTGAAACTTCAATGCAACATGATCGGTCTTCAGAGGCTTTAGGGATTAAGGTCTTTTTATGAAGATCATGGCAATATTATTCCACACAATAACCCACTTATGCTGAAAGTGTTGTCTTCACTTTATTTATTCTTATTGGGACAAGAAATTGTATGAAATACATTTTCATTATCATAGTTTTGTTTTCTGTAACCACTTTCAATAAGGTTAACATGAATAAACATGGTAGTGATAACAGTCCATCCTTCTCATAGATTATCCTAGTAAATTAGAACACTGTCCTTCAGTTTATGTAGAAATCCCCTCAATTTTTCAGTGTAGAGGACTCGTATGTTGTCACATTTATTTAATACCTAACAATAATTCCTTCAACTTTTCACTTGTGAATGATGGTGCATTTAATTCTTAAAAAACGTTACAGGTGAACAAGGTCAACTATCAGGTGAGGAACTCCTGAAAGTTAGCAACAATTAACTTAGACGGTATATATTTTATGCCAGTTAGTGCTGGTTATTAAACTCTGAGAGAAGTCATTAAATGGGTGTGATTAAATAATCAACTTTTACAGTTGCTATTTAATTTATTTCAAGGTTACATCTTTTGGAAAATAATTTCATCCAAACAATTTTTTGCTTATCTTTATCAACCTAATTTCAAGGGCGTCTACTAGTGTTTTATTTGGCTGTTATTTGTACCTTTCAGTGGTCCATGTTTTGAAAAATAAATAAAAGCTTGAAAAGACTGAAAGTTTCAGGTTAAATTTTTCGTGACATATTTCTGGTATGTATGTATGCAAATATTTGTTGGTTATTCTGGCAATCCTGTATGACAATACATAGTCCATTGAGTATTTAGACCTTGTTTTTGAAGTTGAGTGAATCATTGTTCTCAAAGCATATCTGTTATGTTGAAATATAGTTTGAGAGTCATTAGATCAAATCTGATTACATACATAATTACAAGTAACTCAATTTAACACAGACATGAAACTAGTTCCAGCCATTCAGATACGTTTAACGCCATTTTTCCGGTGTATTATGCCTTACGTAAATCTAGATCGTTCTAGGTTCACTTCTGCAAAAAATGACTGTTCACTACCTTCCCCACTGCACAGAAGTGAGTGTGGAGGCGGGAAAGATGATGTAAGGCTACATTTTTCATAGAGAGAAGATCGTCACTTTTATAAGATGATATTAAAGCTACTGAATATTTTCCAAAGAATTTTCTCGCCTTTCAGCAGAAACCATAAAGTTTATTTGTATGCAGAATATTCTAAAACAAAATTTAAGTTATAATGATGAAAGCAGATTAGATGATTGAGTCTGTCCAGTACATTAACAATAGTGAACAAGTATGTGATATTCCAGCCTACTTAATGGGTAGAAGCGGAATCAAAAATACGCGTTTCGCCTTACTTGGGGCTCGTCTGCAGCTTGTACCTGCACCTCAGTGAGTGATGTTGTATTAGTTATGGGTATTAAGGGGTATCAATTGTTGTTTCATACTTTTCATCTCCATTGCTTTGCTGGATTGAATTACTTGACCTTTTTTGGCAGATGGGCTTCTATGCGGATACCTGGATACTGCTAGATTACTCATTATCTTGTAGTCTGCTTGGTGACTAGCAACAGAATCCATTTGGGATTTGTCAGCTGGATATGTCTAGGTATAGGAGCTCATCTGCCAACAAACGTCGAGCAGTTCGACCCAGCTTAGCAACGGGAGTTAATAAGTATCAAATAAAAATATGTGATGCACTCCTGTTCAAGAGATTTTAGATCTAAAGAATTAAACGTTTGTACTAATCTTATTTCTGCTAATTAAGTCAGCCACTTTCATATTTCGCAATGTTTTAATGAGTAATGCAAAAACTAGTTCTTCAGAAACAATACTAGTTTTCAATTTCATAAAAGGGCTATTGAATCTGTCTGTTTACCTTGGAAGAAAAATGTTTTTCTGTCTTGTTAAAGACATTTTTTAAAGATTTGTGTTAAAGCGGGATCCATTTCTGCTAGCTATTTTATTACAACATTTACAAGTATGCTTCTGCCATAGATTGAATCAGTTATGGTCCCATAATTCACAATGACAACTTGGAGATACCGGTATTTTCATACTGGTTGTTTTGATTGGCCAGGAGGATGGTCTGACATTATTGACTGGTCCGTATTTTTGGATCCTGTTTTACTTTGTTCTAAAGTCATTAATATTTCGTTTATCTTATTATCTTGTATCTTGATGTGTTAGTGTGAGATATTGCAACTTTAACCTCGATGCAAGGATGGATGTTGATATTAACTGAATGTGTAGATGGTAGCATATATTAGGCAATAATATTGCAAACGTTCTCTGAACTTTCGGTCTCTTTAGTGCTGCAACAGAAAAAACTTAAAATAATTAGTATATCTGGTAAAAGACAGTTTTGAACTATATACGACAGAGAATTTCAGTTTGAAAATATCTACAGATTTAGAAGTAGTATTCATCATGGACTGACATCAGTTGGGGAATCATTGAAGATCTGGGAGCACTGGACAGCTGTTTCGTCGTAGTATCTCTTCCTAGATTTGCCGAATAAGAGATTGAATGTAATATTTTACCGAGGATGGAGAAAGAAGCTATACCTGGGACTAGCTTTCTCTTAGTCAGCGAACAAGTTGCTCTCCACTCCGAATATCGATAAGTGGTCAGAATAAGCTACAGTTGTTACTGAAGCATTAGCTTTGAATCATTATCATCCGCTTACATGTTTCAACAACAAAACATCATTGCCAAAACTGATTTTATTTGAATTATAGAATGTGGCAAGGTTCGATAGTGAAAAGTTAAGCAGATGTAAAACAAACTAATATTAGTATAATTTAATCTTATCTATAACCCAGCCACCAACAGGTAAGAATACGGTGCAAATGGAATGAATTGAACGTGTTTACTCTCAATATTCAGTCTTCAGAAATAAATACCCTAGCCAAGTGAAATATGTTAATCATCACCAGTGTGTTGGCACGTTGGAGATCCAACAATACTTAAATTATTAACATAAGATGTCGAAACTATGTTTTCTAGTAATGAGTTACAGTGGTTCATAACTCTGTGCACTAACTGTATTTCTATCATGGCTTGTAAAATGTTATGTTATGTCCTCCTAGGTGAATTATTCTAGGAGGAAGGTTGATATGAACAAGATAAGTTAAAACGTAAAAATATCTTAATCTTCGCAGGAGAGGTCGGAAAGCTCACTGATCATCTTAGTTCTTACCCTCTTGACTCAGCAGTATGTCGGCTTCACATTTTCAGACATAAGTTCCTGGCTTGATTATCATACACCGAATCAAGTCTTACACAAGTCGGCTATAAGACTTAAAACATGTCCTTATCAAAGGT